CAGCCTTTAATGACTGAATCTGGTCCTTGCATGTCTATAGAGCTAAGCACACGGGTGAGTCTCAGCTGTATCTGGAAACAACTTGTCCCTGGTTTTGGGTCCTTCCCCAACCCTGTTTGCAGCGCTGGGAGCGAGGACAAAGTAGTGCCTTTTTCCCCATGTCCTGCTAGGGGATGTAAGCTGGGGGTTAGTCAGTAATACCTTGACTGCAGGCAATGACAACAAGTCCTTTTATTTGCTTTGCTCCCTGCTTTGCTCAGCAGTAAGAGTGAAGTAGAAACCCCCTCCTCCTCTGGGGTCAGCAGCAGCCCTCTTTGTTTTAGGGGAATGAAGTTTGCTTTGGGCGAGCTAAAGCAAATGACCCCCCCTTATCTCTAGGAGAGGGAGAAACTGCTGCTGAGCCCCAGGCAGGGCAGCCCCTGGCCATGGGGGTCCCCATCTATGGCATGGGGCAATGCAGGTTCTTATCTGGCTCAGTCGCAGGAGGTGTTTTCATGCAGTTTAACCAGCCAGTTAACTATTGCCTGCACTGCTCTGGCTCCACCGGTGCTAGACGCTCCTGCAGACTCGTGCTGCACTGGGGCAGCGCTCACGTTCCTGCCCGGGATTGCCCTCAGCATCGCGCCCTGCCAGCTTCTTTCCACTGGGTTTGTCTCTGCTCTCCTTTCCCTTCCTCTGGATGTGTTTAGACCTGGCTTCCCATGGATGGGCCAAGGGAGAGCTGCCTAACTTTTAAAGCTCTGTGTCCCATGTGCCTGGAGGCATCCCGGCCACGCAGGAACCTCGATGTCACCCATCAGTGCTGAGCATCATTGGAGTTTTGCTCCTGCAGCCCTGGCAAAGGGCTCTGGCTCCGTAGGCAGCTGCAAAGGCAGCGTCTGGCTGGTGGTCTGTGACTAAACAAGGGACAGAGAGTGACAGTGACCACAAAGAACCTCTGTTAGATGAGGTGAGCACTGGCTCTGGAAGAAGCACCCAGCACGGGGAAGCTTTCTGGGTACTGTGTCCTCAACCGCTCTGGAGAGACTGTGAGTCCCTCTGGGTTCAGAGTTGCTTATCTGCTTGGCTGCAAAAGCGGCCCCTTTCTCCGCTCAGTTTCCAAGCTGCTTCTAAGACAGATCTTTAACATATTTTTGTGCAAAGCAGAGATCCCCCATACCAGTGGGCCGCTGGTCCCTGTTGCAGAGGGATGCAGCAGAGCTGGGTGCTGCGGGTGAGCAGCCTTGTGTGACAGCCGCCGTCTGAGGACATGCAGAGCCAGGGCACAGCGTGCCCTAGAGCAGGGAAAGGTGTTTTGCAGGAAGGATGTGTCTACAGTCCGACGAGGACTTCGCAGGCTGTTTCTTCCAGCAACCATGTCACTTTAAACATTCTTGGCCACTCCAAGGTGCCTATGGCCTCCCCATGGGGGCTGGCCCCAACCCTCTGCCCTGTGCGAGTTATTTCTCATCAGGAGCAGTGCCCTGGTGGGATTTTACTGGGCAGGTGCCCACCAGAAAGGCAAGGGGTGGAGGGTTTCCAGCACCTCCTCCAGGCCTGGAGCCGAGCTCTGAGCATGAGCATCCCCTCGGCTACGGAGCAGCACCCGTCCCTCTGCGCAGCATCGTTAGGGGCAAGGCTGCCCAGAGCCCCGGTGCAGCTCCGTAGTGAAAGGCAGGGAATTGCGTGAAAGGCAGGGAATTGCCATGGCCTGTGGGCTGGCGGAGGACTCGGAGAAGCTCCTTCCGTGCGGCTGGCGGGTCGGCACTGCTGCTTTCCCCAGGATGGGCCTTGCTGCTCCGCCGTCCTCCAGGCGAGCTGCTGCGAGCCAGGCCAGGAGATAAGGCTTTGTGCAGAGCTATTTATACAAGGGGAAAATGTGGCATTGCTGGCAAAAGAAACGGGCCAGGGCAGGACCCTTCTCCCAAATGGTGCCAAGAGCAGCTGAGATGGTGCTTGTTTTGTTGTGCCACTACACTGGGCTCTGGGCTGTCCGTGGTGGTGGCTTTGTGCTAGGAAGAGTTGCTGGAGTGTCGGGATGGGCTTCTGGAGTAGATTGGGTTGAAGATAAGGGAGGATGGGCAGGCACTGCTGGGGCAGCCTTCTTGCTATTTAATCTCCCTGGTTGCTCAATCCCCAGTCCTGGGACAGGGGTAGCAGGGGCTCCTCCAAAACCTGCAGGTTCCTTCATGTAAAAAGAGAAGCCAGGGAGCAATTACCCTGAGAGGGAGACCCAGTAGGAGAGCTTGTCCCCTTAAGCAAGCAGGTTTCATGTTCATCTCTGATTTTCCAAGGTTATCAGCAAAGGATATGCATTAGTGTAAGGTCACGATGATGAAATCCCCTGGGGACGTGTGTGCCTGCCTGGTGAATGGAGTGCTCGGGAAGGATGCACGTGGTGGGACGGGATGAATTCCTCTCTTGGGCGTGCAGGGAAGGTCACAGGCTTGGGTTTACCCAGCCGGGTCTGCTCCATCCCAGCCGGGTCTCTTCTGGGAGCAGGGCGGTGTGTCCAGCCCGGGGACAGCGATGCTGAAGGCGATGGGTTAATCGCTGTGTGGGTGCAGAAGGGCCAGGGCTGGGGATGGGGTGGCCCTCCTGCTATATGGAAACATGACCAACCCACTCGGGTTAACGCCGCTGAGCGGGTTGATGCTGAGGCTGAGATGCTCCTTCCTCATCCGCCTGCTCAAGGGGCCCTTGTTTCCAGGGAGGAGATGATTCATGTGTATCCAGCAGCCCCTTAGCAAATCTTCCACTGTTACGGGATGTTTCCAGGGCTCAAGCGTGATAATTAAGGGTTGCCTTTTCTCTGAAGCCCTCCAGGCTGCAGCGTGCCAAGTTGCTCTGTGTCTCTGTACCCAGCAGTGCTGATGCGGAGGAGGTTCTTTCCAGGCATCCCCAGTTCTTCTTCCTGGCAGGGAGGTCCCATTGCCACGTGCCCCATGAGCACTGGGGAGTGCAGCTCTGGGACCACGGCTGGCACAAAGGCACAAATCTCCCCCCGCCCGGGCGCTTCCTCCCTACTACCTCCTTTCCTTGGGAAAAGAAACCTCCGTGCGAATGGAAAAGGCCTCGGAGCCTTGCACAGGGGCTTGAGGCACCATCCTCCTCCTCAGCGCACGGAGGGGATGGTGAAGGTCGGCCCTCCTCGGTGGGAAGCGGCAGCACGTTCGGGATG